TTTTTTTTTAAAGAAATAAAATAAATATTTGACAAAAACTCGCAGTGTCACTATCACATGATGTATTGCAATGATTTCTCTTCGCAGAGCTGGGATGGATGTGGCCTGTGTGTGACACCTCCAGCCCGGGCTGCCAATTTGACATCCCTGGTATAATGCTATGGAGCCATAATAAGATTTAACATAGACAGCCAATATTTTTTCCCTTTGTGGCATAAAGCGATTTAGATTTTTACTTGGCCTGACTTGATTGCAACAAGTAAAAAACAATCATACCAATTAAGATATAAATGGCATTACATTTTTAATTGCAAAAAGTTTTATCCTCTCATTTTCTGAATTAATCCAATATTCTCAATCACTAATCCCAAAATGGAATTATGTTTAGTAAATCAAGTAAGACCATTTACTTGATTAGTGCAGTTAAAAATCTTGCTCCAAAGGAATTACAAGCAGTAATTCTGAATTTAAAAAACTAGTATAAATAAATCCAGTATAAATAAAAAGTTGCATAAACATGCTTTTGAACCATTTTTTTTTCAAACACAAAAAACCCATGTTTTGAAAACTTGGTACTTTATAAAACAGTTGTTAACAAATTTTAAACATATCACTTCCTTAGAACTAGACATATTTATCTCCCACATATACTTACACTGTTTGTTATTGCTTGTTTGTAAACTACATCCTGAAATGCACAACAGTAACATTTGAAATCAAACTTTCATAATAAATCACTCATCCACTCTTTGCCTCAACAATTTTAGATGCCATCTAAGACTTCCTAGTATATACAAATTGAGGCAGCTGCAATTCTAAATTTTGCTTCCTCACCAAACTACACATTTTCTTTATATTATTTATATCCCACCTTTATTATTTTATTTACAAATAATTCAAGGTGCACAACATATCTAAAAGGAATCTTCTCTTCCTATTTTCCTCCAACAACAATCCTGGTATATGAATTGAGTTGAGAGTATGTGACTGACCCAAGAACACCCAGCTTTCATGGCTAAAGCAGGACTAGAATCCACTCCAGGTTTCTAGTCTAGTACCTTAACCACTAGACTAGACCAAACTGACTCTAGTATTCTTACAGCAGGCTTCTTACTGGAGTAATAATGCTATACATTTGGAGGTCACCAATATTCCCCAAAGAGTCTCACAAGATTTACTTGTAATCAGACATGAATAAAACTGGACTAACATGCTGGGGTCACACACTGGGCTAATTCAGAGTATTTTGACTTCCTATATTACAATAAAGCTGTATAACACGTTCATTCCTTACTCCTATGCCCTGTGCTTGTGTAATGCATTGAATCTTATTTTAATTAACTATGTAGGCTGGAACTGAGGCACATGCTATTGCTTAAATTTTAGGTGGAGCTTTTGGTAGTTTGAGAACTTGTCTATAGACATTTCATTACCCAATTATGCAACATCACCAGTGTGATCTATATGTGGAGTTTCCTGACTATGTGGAGATGTGGCTTTTAGCTCCTTAATCTTATACTTGGGTAGAATAACTACAGATTCAATACCACCACCCTGTGGGGAAAAATACTAGAGCTCCAGGAAGGACAAAGACATCTGGAAATAAAGTCATGTAAAGAAACATACAAATAAACACAAAGCTTACAGAGCACCAAGGACTCCACAGTTCAACCCTGAGCTACAGAAACAGGACTAGCTATTTAGTAGCAAAATGATATTAAAGAATGAAATTGCTTCTTAGCAGGAAGGAAAAAGAAACTCTGCCCCGGGGGTTGAAGGTTTACATTTTAGCCTTCAATCCCAGAAAGCATCTGTAACACAGTAAAGAGAACTAACTGCCTGTTCCAGCTGAGCCCTCGATTCTGCCTCTAAGGTAGCAGATAAACGAAGACGAAGAGCACGAAGTCGAAAAGGATCATCAGCCAGAAGTCCAACCAGTAGGACGTCCCGGAGAGTGGGGGCCCGCAAGCGATGCTCCCCGTCGTTCCCGCCACCTCGGCTGCCAGCCGGTTCGGTTCATGCTCAGTCTTTCGGCGGTCTCGTACCTCAACGCCTTCCGCAGCCTCCATCGTCCCTCACACGGAAAGAATTTATTCCGCGACCGGCGACCGGCCTACGTAGGACTGTTACTACCATAGAGACGCACGCAAAAAAGGAGGGGCACCATAGCGATGTTTCCGGTAGACACTTTCAGTACGACGTGGCCCTTATATGTCTGTTCAGACAAAGGGAGATGCCTGTGGTTGATTCGCCGCGAACGTTAATTCTGTACAGCACAGAAACTGTGATTGGATAATAGAAATCTGGGCTTGGCGGTGCGTAGAGATAATAAGGACTTTACATTCCTTGCAAAGATGTGTTATTTCATTTAGGCTCAAACAGAAAGACGTTTTTCTCGCAGTAGAGGTTAATTTAGTAGGGTTTTTTTTTAAGTTGGCAACTTTTAAGGCGTGTGGAATTAACAGAGTTCACTAGTCAGAATGCTGGAGGGATGCAAGCGCACCTACCATTTGCTGACAAAGCTTCCACCTAATGCATGACCTCACCCAGTGGTTTCAAACGGACGGCAAAGGAAAAGGGGGCATTGAATTCTGAGGCAGGTCCAAGTGAGGAACAGAGGATCTCTGCCCTTTGTTAACAGAAATTGAAACGAGCCACAGAGGAAAGAGGATCAGTTTGGTGGAAGTGGTTAAGGTGTTGGCCTAAAAACAAGGACGCTAAGCTCCAGTCTCTCCTTAGTCGTGAAAGTTGCGTGTCTACTTTTGAATCACTTTTGGGTCTCTATTCTCCAAACCATTTGAAGGCAAGACAAACTGGAATGGTATTATGTCCGGAAGTCGTGGGTGTTCCATTACTGGAGATTTTTAAGAAGAGATTGGACAGTCATTTGTCTGGAATAGGATAGGTCTCCTGCTTGAAGAGGGATTAGAAGACCTCCAAGTTCTTCAACTCATATTCTCTATTCCATTTTCAGCCCACCCGACTTCACAGGGTTTATTGTGGGGGAGGAAGGAGTATTATGTGTATTCACAGCCTTGAGTTTCTTAAAAGGTAAAGATTGTCTTGGGTGTGGTTCTTCCCTTCATATTCGTGGGTATGTTTGGAAGGACTGACTGTCATGTCTTTACCTTGATCAAAATTAAATGCTGATTGTTATTCAAACCTCCATTTAAGTTGTCATCTTTTGGGGCTCACTGTGGCTTAAGCTTATCATGGTACCTAGCAGTATATATATATAAGAAACTATACTTATATAAGTATAGTTTCTTATAAAGTAGTAAAAGTAGGATAGAAATCTGATGAATAAATAAACCATAGTAAAGTACCTCCTACCAAACTTTGCAGTTGGTTCAGAAGGATGATTTGATTGATGTATCAAAAACTCAAAAGAGCTTTGACTTTTATGAGAGGTCAAGAAGCACAAAAATGGGCACACTACCATCGTCCTAGTTCCATCTAAGTTCATCAAGTGGAGCCAATGCTGTTTCTATACCATCATCCTGGCCTGAAACCAGATTGACACTTTATTAGTCCAAACAAAATACTTATTTTAATATATATTTAAAATATACATAATTTATGTATACGTTTTAGTAAAATTAAGTAAAAAATAATTTTCCTTAATTGTTTTCTATTGATATGAACAGTTTTACAAGTATTTCTTGGAATTAAAGTATTTTAACTCATTTATGAAAAATAATAATTGAATGTTTTGAGATTCTTCAACAAGTCGCTATTGGGAAAAGTGAAAGAAAAGGGAACATGATAGCCAGTCGCAAGATAGTATAATCAACTATAACAGCCATAAAGTGAAAAGATTGAAAGACCAAATTGAGAACATAGATAGTCCTCAATATGAAATTGAGCCCAAAATATCCTTTGCTAAGCAAGACAGATGTTAAATGAATGTTGCCCCATTTTACAATCTTTCTTGTTGTTAACTGAATCACAAGTTGTTAACTGAATCACCACAATTGTTAAGTTAGTAACATGGTGGTTAAGTGAATCTGGCTTCTCTATTGACTTTGCATGTCAGAAGTTCACAAAAGGTAATCATATAACCTATGGATCCTACATCCATCATAAATAAAGTCAAGTGTTCGAATTTTGCTCACATAAACATGCAATGGTTTTTAAGTGTGAAAAATGGTCATACGTCATTTTTTTCATGCTGCCATAATTTTGAATTACCAATGAATTGAGGACTACTTGTAATCCTATAGAAAGTCTAATTATCTGATCATTAAAAATTGGCACTAAAATAACAGCAAATAATCATCTTGAACAAGAAGGCCCCAGCTAACATTCTCCATCTTTTCTAATAATTTGTATTAGGATTTCACTAGCAAATACTGAAAATCACAGGACGTTGAATCTCTAATGTGGCCTAATGTGGATATTATTTGTTAAATGATATGGGGGTAATAGGCTTGGTTATATACTAGATTTGTGTATTATTAATAGATGCTCCAGTAAAATGGTTTTTTTTAAAAGAAAATTGTAGAATTTTTCATTGTTCACAGACACATAATAGATATCATTTTTAAAAACATTTCATAAGTAGATTAACTGAAATAAACTGATTGCATATAGTTCCTTAAAAATTGAGACCATTAATGTGAACATTGTCTTTTTTTTGCAGGAGTATTTTAAACCATGACTGACCAACTTATCTTAATGGAATCTGAATATGTTTGTCTGGACTTGTTCTTCATTTTAAAAAGATTGATTTTAAGACAGACGAGGCAGAGTTTCTTATGATTTTATTTTAATGTGTACTGTAATTTTAAAATTTGGACTTCTTGAACCAGAATTCCTTCCTAAGTAGAAATTTGTGTTTTTCTTAGTTTTTCAATACCAAATCAAGGTGAAAAAAGAATACTGGACAGAAATTAGGATACAATATATTAGGTGACATTTTGATGAGAAGGTGTGTACAAAATTTATTCTTTCCAAATCTACATAAAAAATAGTTGTGTTAACATTTTTAAGAAATCTCAAAAATAAAGCTAATGAGGAAATGTGGCAAATTAAAAAAAAAAACAGAACTAGGTAAATTTGAAAAAAACTAACATTTGTAAGGTATTTGGATCAGGCTAGATAGTTCTTATGTGTTTTATTTTATAAAGGATTAATAATTTATTTTAAATATTCAATTAAATAAGCAATTATTCACACTTAGTCACAACAACAATGAAAGACAATGTCTTCTAGAATATGGAATAGAAATAAAGTTTATTTTTTTCCCAATTATAAAAAGTAAATTTTATATTCACACTCCACGGCACTAGTCAGGGTGCAGTCAGGGTGCATAAAAGATAAATACATCTTAAGTGAATATTAGTACTTAGCTCCTTTGTATTTGGTTAAGAAAATGTAAAGAAAACGCAAGTGATCTTCTGATGGTTTTCAGTCTTCACCAATAGTTGTTTATGCTTTCTTGAAGAATCTTTTGGCTATTACTCCTTCATAGGTGTAAGTCTGAAAAGATTTTATTTTTAAAATAATTAAAACAGGTCGGAATATCAGCAATATTTTTCTGCATTCACAGTGCTTATTTTCTCAGGAATAGTTTCATTCTATATTCCAGAAACCAGCCATTTTTAAGGTGGCATAAATAGTCTAAAATCAAATATTTATTGTTAAATAATGATCCATAACTACATGACACATAGTCCTGTTTGAACAGTTTTCATTAATTCTAGTATTTACTCAGCAATATAGGGGTTGCATCCAGAAAGAGAAGTGCTCTTGGAATTATTAATTAAATTATGTCAGAAGTTATGAATTTCATTCCCAAGCTGAGCTACAATAAAATCCAAGAAGCACTTATGGTTGGATCAGTAGTTTGTTTATTGTGATAGGGCCCATATTAGCAAGCAGGCAAAGATGAGACTATTGGAAAAAGCAAACATAGGCAAAATCAGACTGGAATGAAATCCTGCAAGGAGCACTGCATGTGACCATGGTTCATGACAAGGCTCCACTTATGATTAATATATTGTGAACTGTTTTTAAATTGTTTTTTCATGTTTTGAATTTTAGAAGATGTTATTTCAGGTTGTAATTTGATTTTTCTTTTCTTTTGCTTCAGCCCCATAACTGGCTTCTCAGCTATTGCTTTTCTTATAACTGCAAGCAAATATTTAATTTTTTTGTTAAACCTTCTCAGTTCCTTGTTAAGATAATATGAATTTCTACTACTGTAGATTACTGTACATAAAAAATACCTATGATACACTTACCTGAATCATTTCGTCTCCTACAATTTCCCGCAGCGCGTCAAGTTTCTTTCCATTATCCTTACGGTTGAATGCACCTATTAGTTGGTTTCCTTTCAGCTCCCATGTCCCCTATAGTACACATCATGCATACAAGGAAGGAGGGAAAAGAGAGAGGAAGGAAGGTTATTTGTATGGATATTTGTAACTGGTTATAACTAAAGTCGATGTGTTTTGGAATCCTTTACTGTGTAGCCTCTCAACCATCTTGTCAGCTCACCCAGGGGATCAGAAACTAATTCCTGTGAGAAAGATTGAGGAAACTAGGAATATTTATCCATGAGAACATTGAGGTGGGTTATGGTAGCCCACCTCTACAGGGAAACTCTATAATACTAAGAAGAAGAAGAAATTTGTCTTACATTGAGTTCAGTTCCATCAGCTAAACTGTAGTCAAAATTCACTCCCAAAGTGAACACTATCTCTATGCTGCGGAAATTGCTGTTTTCTTGAATGGTGATTTTGTTTCCGTCTTGTTTGATTGTGAGCTTCAGATTGTCATGGGCTCCAAGCTTCCTCTTCACTAAATTAATACCTATAAAGGTTAAAATGTGTGTGAGTTAGTTGCACAGCAGACAGATACTTTTTAATTACTTATTTTAAATAAATTGTCTAAATGGGGTGGCTAGAATTGGACAATTTGATTCTGTCCTCTTAATTCTTGTTGGCAAACAGGTGGCACACAGAGCCCTCTCTGCAGGCAACCAAACGTCGCCCCAGCTCAGTTTCCGCCGCACATGCATGCGTCAGCAGCTGATTGTCAGGTCTCTGCCATGCATGTGTGAGTGGTGGGGCACATGCAGAAGATGCACGCACATGCATATGAGGGTGGGTTGCACGTGGGGGAGGTTCATGTGTGTATGCAAGAGGGGAAGGGCGCACATAGGGTTGTGTATGCATGTGGGGGAGGTGCGCACACGGGGGGTCCCATGTACATGCACAGGGGAGTGCAGGGGCGCGCATTGCATTATGGAGGTACAAATGCGCTTTTGGCACTCGGCACCAAAAAGGTTAGTCATCACTGGTCTAGGTTTTGGTTTTAAAGGTTAATACAACCAGTTTACAAGGATCTGCTCATAGTTTCTTAGGGATTTTAATCCATGTGGAATTATACATAATGTACATCTCGGACTATTAATGTGACATTAATAGTCCAAAATGTACATCATATATAATTTCACATGGAATTCCACCTTCACTTTTCCATATCTGCCAGTAGCTGAGTTCACAAAACAGACTAACCCCAAATCAAGCAAAATATGGGTGATGAATAAGCACATAAACCCAACCCCCACTTAACAATAGTCAAGTCCTTTTTTTATGCAATCTGAAGAGAAGCCAGAATATTGTCAAAGGTCAAATTGCTTAGATCAGCTAAATAAACATGATCTGATACTTCTGAACTGGAAAATAACGTTATTAAAAAAGGAGAAGAGAAAGCTCTGGGTGCAAAATTAAGTAAAATTACATCAAGTTATACAGTATTTAGTTTACTTTTGTAATAAAAAGCCTAAAGAAAGTACCAAGGGAAAACTAGACATCAGTGCAATCACACAGAAATACTGATTAGTAAAATAAATAGTAATAAATAATAGTAAAATAAAAAACAATTATTCTAGAGTCAAATAACTAATGGGAAGTAGCACATATGAAAATAAATAATAAATTCCATTGAAAAATGAAATATAGATCTAGAGGAGAATGTGGGAAACAGTGTATATCATATTTGAGGCAATAATAATGAGAATGATACAAATGATGAAATAAAAAATCTTGCTGGAAGACTTCTGACTCTCATTTCAGTCTGCTACATACAGTACCATCTTGGCCAGATTCCAGAGCAGAAGAGATGGTATGTGAGCAGGAATTGATAATTGAAACTTGCTAAAGAAACGAATACTTTCATATTTGATTTTTGTGTTCATGATCTACAGTTGCCAGGATCCTAAATCTTTTGACACTGATCCTTGGATGCAGTTGATGTTTAAGAAATCACAAGATTTCTTAAGATTAGATTTTGTAGAACGCAAAGCCACTTAGGTTAGATTCCGAGAGTCTCAGAGTCTTAGGAAGCAAAAAGTTTGAGAGTCAGAAAGCTGAGACTCTCATAAACTTTTATGAGAGAAGGGAAGCCAGCAATGACTTCTTACCTATAACAGCAGAATGATAGTATAAAATAAATATGGAAAGCAAAAAAGAAAGCAAGAAAGCAAAGCCTTATAGAGTGGGCATGTGCAATAAAGTAGGAATTGGCATTGTATATATTTGGAAGCAGGAAAATCAAGTCTCTAAGATTTGAAGAGCCAAAGTGGAAAAAAAAGCGGGAAACGTTGTGGGCTGTAGTTAAAGCCCTTCCTTAGTCATGAAGAAAAAATTATTTGTTAACATTTCTGTTTGTCGCAGAAAGAAATGTACAAACATGAAAGTATATAGTAAATATTTGAGGGAAGGAGAATTAAAAAAAAAAAACTGGAATGAAAGTCCAGGGATTAATAAAAAAGAAATGCCAAGGGTTAGTAGCAAGCATTTGAATTGCATTAGCAATCTGTTTTTCTTAAGCAAGGAAATGCAGATCTTACCCATTACTTCCATGAACTTTTCATAGTTTTCACTCTTGTCTACTTTCCAGACGCCATCAAATGCCATGGTTGTTAGCTATTACAAGAAAACGTAGAACTAAAAGAAGGTTTCCTATCCAATCTAGAGTAAAGCTTTCTGAAGGAGTAATTTATATCTTTATTTATCTTGAAAGCAATTCATACACTGATGTGGCTGACTAAAGTCCAATTAGTCAGGTGATCCTATAAGACTAAATCACTACAGCGTATTCAATTCGTTATAATTAGAATAAATCTATTATATTTAATTCTATCTCTTAAAAATATTGCTTGTATTCTTTGGTTAAAGTTGTGATTACTAAATTCTCTTCCCTCTGAATAGGGTGTACAATGTGGGAGGGGGAGCTTAGATGATTACTGGTGAGAAAGAATGAAAATGGTTCTTTAAATGAAGCAACACTTATTTTAAGTAGCAAACCTACTGTAACATTTTTGTCATGTTTCCTTTTATTCCTTCTATCTTCTCAAGCAAGGATAATAACTCTTCATTCCCCTTTAAATATGTGTTCTTTGGAAGCTGTTCCACTGAGTAAGGTAAAGATATAAATAATGGGTGACAGGTTATTTACTCTGGGAACAATTGCTTATAGTTTCCTTTAACCAGGGGTGGGTTTCTCACCCCGTTCCAACCGGTTCAGTTGGAACGGGGCCGGCGGCGTCCTCGCGCACGCGTGCAGTGCGCACGTGCACACGTGCGGCGCACGCATGCATACTAGTGTCTGTGTGATGCTCCAGCTGCTCCTGGAGGATCGCGCAGGCGCTGTATGCGTCCTGCGCATGCGTGGAAGCGCAGGACTCGTTAAACCCGGGTAAGAAGTGCAGGCGCGCGGGTAGGCCCTTCGCCATTCCCGGAAGTTACTTACTTCCGGGTTCGCCGACCAACCGGTTCGCAGGGACCACCGCAAACCGGTTGAAACCCACCCCTGCCTTTAACCCTAATCAGGTGAGACTTACTTTTTCTGTTCTGAAATGTAGGAGATAGATCTGAGGGAGAAAGTGATTTTAATATAGAAAGCCAATCAAACCAAATCACATGGAGCTGAGAAACAATGTACTCTTTGCACAGACGTGTTCATAAGCCCCCCCTCTCTCTCCTTAATAGAAGACTGATTTCACATTTTATAGATGCCCTATCTAATATTTGAATTTAAACAGCAGT